TTAAGCATACGCCAACATAAAACATTATAAAAATGAACATCATTATACTTATTTTCACTTCTTATTTCATTATAATACATACATTTCGAATGTCGCCCATTGCCTAGCCCTTAAACAATACATTCATCATTTTCCCTATATAAAACACAAAGGTTGAACCCCAATCTCAAATGCCGCCCATTGCCCAGCGGCCCCAGCCTCTTAAACACTATGAAGGATGTAATATAAATTGCAGAGTGCAACTTAAAAAGACAGAAATTAAGAATTTGTTACATTAGTGCTTATAAGATTGAGATTTTAATTTTACCAGTAAGAAACAAATTCCCCGTCCTATAACGGACATCATTGCTAAGTCATATCTTACTTTAACTTTTGCACTTTCGATAAAAATTATATTTTTATTAAAAAATATTAAACATTTTAAGTAAGACATGTTGAGCATATAACTATTAACGTGCAATCCAACTATCAGATTAGGCTTTTAGTTGAGATAGAGCACATGCTTTAATTTGGTATCAGAGTCAATCTCTCACATCTGAGAAAAGAAATTTTCAAAAAAAAAAAAAAAAAAAAAAAAAAAGCTAAAGGGTAATTGTATAGAGCTTTACAGAAGGGTGTTCCTTGCTCCAGCAGATTCCACATGTACAACATGAGCTGGCGTTTTTTTCATTCCACGGTCAACGATCTTCGTTCTCTATGAGTTTTTTACCATGCAGCTTAGCATTGACTTTTCTCTTATGTTGTGCTTGTCATAAGGTTTTGTTTGGTTAAAGTTTGTTTACTTATTATTTAACCTTACCAAGAAGGCCAGAACAAATGACCATACAATTTCATTTATTGAAAAGTTTATAATCGATATTTAAAAATATATTTTAGGTGAGGTCCAGACAGAATATAAACATAAAACATGAATAAATTAGATAAATTAAAATGTGTTTTTAATTGAATTGTGTTGAGTTTTGAACGTGGAGTGTTTAAGATAGGGGAAGAGATTAAAGTATTAAACCCATGAATCCATGATATTTGAGAAGAAATGGGACAGAAAAAAAAATGACAATAATAATTGGCAGTCAACGAGGCTTATATATGTTATGTGTATTTTGTCTATTTGTGGAAAATATGTATCCAAGTAGTTGGTTGACTTGGATCTTGTCTCCTTATGTTGGAAGTGGGTTTGGGAGATTTGGACCTTCTAATTAAATTAGCTCTTTCGACTATACTAACTTTTAGCCAATTGGCTTCTCGTCCAATCGTTATACCCTGCACCACGGTACATATAACATTGTACATCCCGCACTTTTCAAAACAACGTCGTTTTGATAAGCTATGTAAAGAGTTGACGTAATTATGTGTATTTGTTTATATAATTATATGTATTTGTTTATACAGTTATGTACATTTTTTATACAATTATGTACATTTTTTTTATACATTTATGTATATTTTTTTTATACAATTATATACATTCGAAACAAGAAGTTTATGTGTATTATATTAAGAGTTTATGTGTATTATGTTAAATGTTTATGTGTATTATGTATTATGTTAGATTATGTGTATTATCTTTTTTTTAAAAAAAGTGTGTATTTTGTTATACAATTATCTACATTCATGTATACAATTATGTGTATTATAGTATAAAATTATGTACATTTTTAAAAATGAATTTTTTTTTAAAGAAAATTAACCACCAATACATAGTAACGAAATATATTATTTAAAAAAAAAAAGGATGAAACGACGTCGTTTTGCATCAGGGCGCACAATGCAATGCACGCCCTGGTGCACGATATAAATTGCCCTTCTCGACTAGGTTAGATTTTAGGTAGGTAGACTATTGGCTATGCATTAAAGCTAGGATTATTCCAGTAAATTTGTAATTGACAAGATGATGTGGCATTTGCCACAACATATATATATATATATATATATATATATATATATATATATATATATATATATATATATGTATATATAGCTTATTTGAATTGCAAATTTGCTTCTGCAACAAATTTGCAATCCAATACAAAAGTTGTGACAATTTTTGTACTTTAAAAAAAAATCTTTACTTTTTATTTTTTTAATATTTAAATGTAATTGATATAAATTAATAATATTTTTATATATTGGGACCCACTTTTAAAAGTTAATTAGATTTACATAGATGTAGTATGAATAGTAAATGATTTTAAAATTAGGTAATGTGAAAGTGTGACACATTTTTTATAGTGAGAGAGATTTGCGGGGATAAAAATAGCCTAAGAAGAATCATTCGGAGGGGGGAGGGGGAGCGGGTACTATTCGTCTTTGGGTTATCTAAATATCATAATCACAACAATATATTATGGAGAATGTGAATAAAGTAACATGCGTTTAGTATATAAGATCTTATTATCTTTTAGTTCTCAATTGAATTTCAATATAACTATCGGATAACGACTATGATAAAGTAACAAGTATCAATAGTTTGGAGAATTCGTCTCTTAGTAAGTTATATTCTCATATACGAATGACTAGCGTTATGAGAAAATCTATAATATTTAAATCCGTTGCCAAAAAAAACACAAAATTTGTTCTTGAAACTAAATAATAATTAATTAAAAGTAGTTAATGACTCTGTTTTGTTTGTAGTCACATGTCATGTTATAAACATTTATGTAAAAGCACTTTAGAAATTTAGAATACTTATAAGTAGGGATGGCAATATGCCCCGTCCCCGTTAGGGATCCCCGATCCCCGCCCCGACGGGAACGGGGATGTTACAAATTTTCGGGGAACGGGGACGGGGACGGGGAATGTTTATAATTCCCCGCCGGGGACGGGGACGGGGACGGGGATACCCCTCCCCGCCCCGTCCCCGTCCCCGAATAATTAATAATAATAATAAATAATATATAAATAAATAAATATATATATATATATATACATATATATATATATATATATATAAAATTAAGATTTAAATTTTTAATTTTTAAAATTAAAAATTATACTAATTTAAAATTTTGATTAAGAATTGAACGGGGATCGGGGAATCCCCGTCCCCGTCTAATTCCCCGCAGGGACGGCGATGGGGGTTATTTTCAATTCCCCGCCGGGGATGGGATCGGGGTTTCGGGGACGGGGACGGGGTGTATACTCCCCGCCCCCGCGCCGCCCCGTTGCCATCCCTACTTATAAGCCATTGAAGCAAATTTCGCTATTTATTGATTTCACCAACCTTAAACAAGCAAGTAAGGGGGGTGTATTCCATCATGACTTTCATAGAGTTTTATAGACTTTTATAAACTTTAAGAGTTTGGGGGTATTCAATTCAAACTTGTAGAGAGTCTTTAAAAGTCATGCGGTATTCAATCAAGATTATTAAAGAGTCTTTAAAAGTCGTGTGGTATTCGATTAAGACTTTTAGAGAGTCTTTAAAAGTCATGTGGTATTAAAAAAGTTATGAACTTTTGTAGACTTTTTAATTTTAAGACTTTTGTAGACTTTTCATTCTCAAATATAAATAGTTGAAATCCAACCATCAACCCCAAGATTTCAAAATTTTCTTTATAACAATTTTGAATGTTCTCTCTCTCTCTCTCTCTCTCTCTATTTAAACTCTATTTTTTCTTCATATTTAAACTTTATAAACCTATCTAAATTTAATAAAATTATTTTTTTCTTCATTATCCTATATTTTCCTCATACCTAAACTCTACCAATTTTTCTCTCTCTCCTAAACTTTACAATCTTCCTCTAAAAATGTGAAATAATATTTTTTTTTTTACTTCATTATTGCTTGTTTATATTTGTTTTTATTTTTTCGATCTATGAATTTTTTATCCCTAACTTTCTCTAATTCTCCAAAGTCTCTTATTGCAAATAATAGTTCTTTGCATGATGCCTAGCAATATATATATATATATATATATATATATATATATATATATATATATATTAGATTTATTTTTTTTATGCAACTTGTAATTATATTTTAAAATATTTTATTTGATCAACTCTTTTATTATAAATTTTATTATTCAATATTGTTATGAATTTCTAATGAAATAATTTTTTTTTGATGATTATTAATAATATATATAAGTAATTAGCATATAAGTCTCAACATACTATGGATAAAAATAATAATGTTGAGAATGTTGATGTGGGTGAAGAACTATATACTAAGAAAATTTTATGATATATTATTAATTGTTTTGTAAGAAAATTATATAAATGTTAAGAATCAAAACCATTGAAAGTTTGTAAGTATGTATTCATTTTAGAATTTCAATGACTTTTGTAGACTTTTTAAAATAAAAAGTTGATAAAAGTCTATGAATGTTTTTTATATAGACTTTTATAGAGTCTTATAAAGTTTTAAAAAGTTTTGAATGACTCTATGAAAGTCAATCAAAGTTTATTAAAATCTATCATTTTAAAAGTCTTTAAAACTCTACAAAAGTCATGATTGAATACACCCCCTAAGACTCTCTATATTAAAAACAATAAAAACAAAAACAAAAACATTTTGTCAAAAAACAAAAACAAAACTGGAATTTGTTTGTATTTCCAGGTCAGATGACAGTTCGAAATTCTGGTTGGTATACAACTACACTGTCATTTACTTTTAGAGAGAGAAAGAGAGGGAAGGTGGGGAGAGAGAAAGACTTGGCGTTAACGAAAAGATTTCTATGAAATCCTCAGACCCAATTTCCATTTAGGTTCGTTCTTTCAATCCCTTTGACTCATTTCTTCCCGTTTTGGTCTCTCTCCAAGAATCTGACGCACTCACTTATGTATGCACACATGTTTTGAAGTGGTGTGTGTGTGTGTGTATATATATATATATATATATACGACGGTTAAAGTTTTGATCTTTTGTGTTTACAATCCTTGAAAAGGTATGTCTTTGGATATTATCTACAAATTAGAACTGGGTTTGTAATTTGAGCTGATGGGTGTTTGCTTATTGAATATCTTTTAAGTTTGGATTATTTCTCGAATTGTCATGTTTATAGTTTATATATACTTCTAATTTGGCTTAATTTTGGTTAATATATGTGTATAAAGTTTTGGGTGAAGTTGGTATGATTTGGTTTAGGACTCTGCAGCTGGGATCAAGTTTGATTTCTTGGCTTCTTGTCACAAAAGGCGAAATCCCTTTTGCGGGCCCACACCTTGGTCTGAAAAGATTTGTAGATGTGGTAAATCACGGTGACTTAACGGCCTATTAGGTGGGAAGATTAGTGTCTAGTGCCCACAAAGAGCCCTCCATATTGAGTGTAACTCCTACACTATGACTATCCGGGCTCGATCCTTCGTCCTTGCCCACAATGTGCCACCCAAGAAACAACTGAGCTATCTGTGTAGGCCAAGTTTGATTTTTTGTTAGGGAAAAATCTTGGGGTCTTTCATGCCATTGATGTGTGATTCAAATACTGTCTTATAGAATGCAGTTTTAGTGCCTTAATTTCGAGTTATTTCGTGAATCTTGGCATGCAAAGATCTGTTTTTGCAGGAAATCGAGATATGATGTTTGTGATATAGCTCTTTTGTAGTCTCATTTGCTACTATCTGCACCAATATGGGTGGTTTAAATTTTAGACCTAATCTTGCTCTTCTGTGTTTTCACTAGTTTAAGATTACAGGATTTGTGGTCTGTAGTTAGCGATTAGCCGATTACTAGAATTTAACTTGTACCTTTGATGGCTATGTTTGGTTCAGAAAGGTTAGCTTGTTCCTGCTAGTTACAAAAGAAGATAAAGTAAAGGAGATTTAGTTTTCTTTTCTGGTGGCTCAAAAGGCGAGAAGAGACACTCTTTTTGTTTTTCTTGAATCTGGACTTTAACCTCTTTCGTTATCTAAAGAGCAGAGATTGTGTATGGCTAACAATATAGTCGTGATCTTTCTTAAAATCAACATGTCTTGTCTCTACACTTTTGCTTAGATACCTCTTCTTTTCATTCTGAACCCGAGAAGCTTGAAATAAACATTAAAGAAAAAGTGAAGCTTCAAACATCCTGTAAAACTTGTAAAGAGGCCTTGGTGTAATGCTTTTCATTCTCGACTTTTTGAGTTACAACCTTAGTTGAAGACCAATTGTCTCATTTGTGAAATCCTTCAAAGTGATATTTTTGGTTTGGGTTTTTCCAGCTTTCGAGGGTTACATGCTGCAATTGCTTGACTAGAATTTGAGTGAAATGGGTAATGAAACGAACACTAAAGTTCGACTGGTTAGATGCCCCAAATGCCGACAGATTCTTCAAGAGTACGCAGAGATTCCTGTCTACAAATGTGGAGGGTGTGGCACCGTTCTTCAAGGTATTTACTCTCTTTCTTTCTCACCTATGCTCGTTTTTGGAAGATTGATTGATACCACAAGTCTCACCGTGAAGATCCTAAAATTAGATCTCTCTGAAGTTGTGTAAAGTCGATTCTAGATGTTGTCGTTTATAAACTGAACTAAATGTAAGAAAGTATTTTGTATTGCTTACTCTAAAATTAACGTTCTTTTCTTGTGGATGCAGCGAAGAAGAAGAAAAACGAAAATGCCTGTCCAGAGTTGAGCACTCGAGAAACAACTCATGGAAGTATAGAACGGGGTGAGAATTCATTGGAAAAGGACATCAGTAGTTTACATCAAAAACCCGCACTTTCTCCCCCGTTAGACGCTTTGCAGGATGAAAACAAACAGAGGAATCGAGATGAATATGGGGACTGCAACGAGGAGCAGCGTGGAGAAAGGAACTTCTCTGATGAACTTCAGCTTAAAAGTCGTGAAACTTCAGTTCCATTTTCACTCCCACGGGCTCGTGAGCATGTGGAACAAGTTGATAAAGAGAAACTCCCTTTGGATCAAAATGACCGTGGAGCTTGTGAAATCGAGAGCCCCGAATCCAGTAGCTCTCTTGCTAGGAGTTCTCAATTTACTGAACGTAGTCATCGTGACAGTAAATTTTCTCCGGGGACTGGAGTAAATGGCGGTGAAGGTGACAATCAGAATGGCTCTGAAGGACTCAATGCAGTAAACAGTTCCAGAGGTAACTTTTCAACCGAGTTAGCTTGTGATAACATTAAAACGCCATCGCTTGGGCGTGCAGAAAGCATTTCATCAGAGAGCGTTGTGCCTCATCACGAGCATCCCGAGAATTCTGATAAAGAAATTGCTCCGGGTTTTGACCGTATAAGCTCCACAGACAGTCTGAAAAATTTACTTCTTGATGATAAGAGATCCCAGCATACCGTTACTCACAGAGACATGTCCAAGTCCCCAGCAACGAGGAGCTATTATGCGTATGATGGTAGCGCATCTTCTTGTGACGGGGATGATCAAGTGCCTAACCGGTTTTCACAACAATTATCCGGGAATACAGGCTTCATCAGCCCTGATGAATTTGAATCCGATTATGCATGGACAGTGAACAGCATGCTGAGGAGAAAGTCGAAGGCACAGCATCAAGATTTGAATTTCGCACCCGTGTTGCCACAGATGATTCAACAACTTGCGGGGGGCAGCAACTGGCTCGAATCTAGAAGACGTTTCGAAAATAGGAAGAGCTCTCGGGCAATGAATGAAACTGGAAGCCCTTCAGGTTATAGGCAGAACGTTTTCCATCACCGATCAGACTTTAATATGTCAAGCACGACCACAGATCGAGAGCCAGACAGAACGGAACTATTGAGGATGGTCTATGAACTCGAAGAACAACTCCACAAAACACGTCTTGGAAATGGAAATCCGTTTCACGATATGAATGCTCCGTTTTCTTACAATCAATTTGCACCACGGGCTAATATAAACTACTCTAGATGTCCTTCGAGATGTGGTCAAACCTCGAGACTACCCTTCCCCGGAGGGCATTTGCATTGCTCAGCACAGCTGCCTCGTGGTTGCGTTCACTGTAACAATGGTCAAACTGCGGCCTGTTTTGACCATAACTATTGTAACGCCCACCATTCTAGTTCATCAAGTCCCCAGCATTACACGAGCTCCGAGTATTCCTTGAGTGTCCCCGAGACAAAATCGAGTGAGCAGAGGCATACAGACCAAGAGATGAAGAAATTACACTTGAGGGAGAAGTATGCTAAAAGCCGTCTTGTCCTTCCGGTAGCTAGTGCAGCCCCGATTATAGCTTGTCATTACTGCTCGGAGTTATTACAGATGCCTTCAGATTTCGGTCTCTTTAACAGAAGATGGCATCCAGTGCGGTGCAATGCATGTATGAAGGTTCTTAAGTTTTCGGTTCAGAATAGAATACATATAATGCCATACCTTACAGAGACTTTAACTCCTCCACCCAGCGAGATAGATGACATCAGGAATCAGGCACCGGGGTCACATTATTGCCCACGTCCTGAATCTGTATATTATTCTGATGATTCGAAACCGTCCTTCTGTCAAAGTGAGGCCGAGGCTTCATCCAATAGTTCGCCTATTCAACCCCCTGGAAGAAGCATGTTAAACAGAAAGGTCGTGTCTCCTGCTAGGAAAATGAAGTCTGTTATGAACGAGGAGTCTGAAAGCAAGCTCCGGAATTCCAATGGAACCTCTGAATCTTCACCGCCAAGAACAGCCCCTGCACTTCATCGTCTCATGGGATACCCCTCACTGAGCCAAGTTTTGAATCAAGGTTGCTTCGAATAGCTGTCTTTGCTGATCCATTCACGTCTCCAAGAGAAAGCGGGAAGTCAAGAATGATACCGGAAGCTGCAGCTCGATATAATGTAAGTCAAAAGGTATTCTTTGTATTACAATGGAACTGCCAATTCGGGTTTCTTATAAGTTAGGGTTTGCTTGATGAGTTTGTATTTGTGTACACAGCTCTCCCATATTATGTTATTTTACAGCCTGCTTCTTATTGTTTGCCTGGTATACCATGGACCCGGGTCTACCTTGCAAAGTGAATCTGTGTTTCAAAATACACAATTTACATACGGAATGTTGTTTACAGTAATAAAAATACAAATACTATTTTCCAAAAAATATAAAAAAAAAAAATCATCAAATGGCTCATACAAACAAGACATGAATATGAAACACTAAAAAAGGACTACATAATGAAAAGAATGTCAGATCATACAACAAATAATAAACTCCAACAAGGTATGAAGGCATACAAGAAACATTTCCAATGAAAAAAAGATTAAAACTAAAGCTAAGTCATTAAGAAAGGGCACCTATTGAGCTCATCATGTAACACAAATAAGTCACAAATGGCTCCCAACTACACCACACAGCTAAAATCTCCACCTATTGTCGCAGTTCACACAGGTGACGAAAGTCGTCATTGGTTCATCAGCACTGCGAGTCTGCAACTGGTAATAGGTGCATTCCTTCTTCCCACATTTTTTACACTTGAAAGCATTGGTACTGGCCACACCCCGACCACCGCGCTCACTATTAAACAATGCCTTTTCCTTGATTTTCTCGTTTTCCTTTTGCCTTTCGTCGCTTGCCATGTCTTCTGGGGTCAATTCGGGAACAGATTGGGGTGAGAATTCACCTAGGAGGACTTTTCGTCGGAAATCTGGGTTGTTTCCATCCTTGATATTGAACATTATTGATCTATACTTGAACTTCTGAGCACCTTTAGAACCGCCCCATTTCTCATACAAAGCAGTCTCCACCTGAACAGCAATTCTATTAGGATCGCATGCATTTACATCAGCTTTTAGATCATCATCAACCTCATCAATAACTTTGCACAAAGCCTGTGCGATGAGTTCCCGGATCTTATCCCTATCTGCATCCTTGCAATAAATAAGGGCATTAAGCTTTGGTGGAGCAGGATTTGCGCCAAAGGAACTTGATTTTCCTGCATTGGTTGTCTTCTCAACCCTCACATGTGCACTGGCACTACTCTTTCCAGTCTTCACAACATCAACACTCTCAACCTTCTTCTCTGACAAGGGTCGTTCTGGTTTGATTACCTTCTCAGATTTTGCTGAAGCAGAATGATGTGTCCTCTCAACTTTTTCAGAGTCTGGTTTTGAAACTTTATCTACCTTAGCGGAGGAGTTCGATCTCTGATATCTCTTTGCTTCAACAGGACTAGCAATAGCAGGTTCAGCCTTTTCAGATTTCTCATTTCCAGCATTTCCACTACTCTTATTTTTCATTGTCTCTTTTACAACTATTTGCTTCCATATCTCAACTATATCAGAAGCTAAAGTCTTGATCTTCTCCCTTGGATGTTTTGTTAGCTTCCTAAGACTTTTCCCAACCTGAAACACATTTCAAGTCAATTACAGATGAAAGTCAGAAGCTTATAGACATAGTACTCACTATTTATTGGTTTCCTAATGTACAAACCAACTGAACAGTAAAAACCGAACATGAAATACCCAACTATCCATTGCAGCTAATTGAAGAAAATTGTGAAATAACTCATAATCAAATTCTCTTTTTAAAAAGAGGAAAAAATGAATACATAGGAGTAAGAACAAAAGGAAAAAAAAAAAAAAAAAAAAAAAAAAAAAATCCGCACCATTTGCACATGCTTATTTGACTGAAATCTCAATTCTCAACATCTTTAGCTACACAACTCAAGTAATGAGGAAAACGAAAATAAAAACAGAGTAAAATGTATTACATGAAATCTTGACACTTAGTATCTTAAATAATGAAGCCAAGATATTCTAACATCATAACAAGCAATAATCTTGCCTTCAATAACTGTTGAACCTTTTAACCAGTACTATAGCACTTCAATGAAATTCTGCCTAACCAACAAATTCAGGGCATATTCACATATTACTTTAACTTCTATTATTCATACACTTTAACAAAGATTAATATCATACAAAATCCTATGGCAGTAATTGCAAGAGAAAACTCTAATCTCAACATGAGTAGGCCCTAGGTGCAGATAGTTGCTCAACATTGGGCATGTGATCAGAGCCATTGCAAATTCCATAAACATCAAGTTCTTGAGCTTCTCCCCTTAAATGGGGAATTGGGGATATGAGAGAGAGCACAGAGCTCATTCTCAAAATGAAACATTGAGAATGTCATTACATATAATTCAATTCTGGTGCCTTTCCCCCTAATAGACAAAGAATTTAATAAACAATTTTTTTAAAACTACACTCTAGTATTTAAGGAATTCCCTCCTAAGTATAAGATGTATATATGTATACAAATTTCATCACACAAGTATATTGCCGTCTACATATATCACCCTTTATTTAGCAGATCTATGAATCAAAAAGGCAGGCAAAGAATGGTAAAATATGTCCTTACCTGAGAGGAGACAAGTACATTATAGCTTACAGGGAACTTTTTCAACTGCTTCAAACCATCAAGGCACCTCTCTTCCTCCGCATCTGCTCCGTCACCGGCAGCCGCATCGGCAGCCTTTTTCACCACCTCGTACAGCTCAACCAGTTCTTTTTCCATTATTTCCTACCGTCTTTCCCCTCCTAAAACACAAATTAAACCCAAAAATCACGAAAAATCAAACCTTTTCACCAAAAACAAAATCTTCCAGATGAATTAAACACACCCCGATAAAATTTCAAAGAAAAACAACAACAAAAAAATCAATAAACAAAATTATTTTGACCGTGCGATGAAATTTCAACTGGAATTCATACATTATACATCGCACAAACACGTAAAAACGTGGATATAGAGCTGGAGCTACGAGTGCAGAAACAAAATCAAACCTGAATTGTCGAGATCGAACGCGAATTGGCGCAGCGCCTACAGCATTTAGCAGCAACGGCGCCCCGTGCTACCGATCGAACCCTAGCTTCCGATAACAGCTTAATCTTTCTGTTTACAACTGAGACTGAGGCCGTGAGGCGGGGAGGAATTAAAAGAGTCTGTTGTGACACGTGTGCTGCGATCTGACGGCGCAAGAAGACCAATTGATTTCGAATCGGACGGGCAGAATTCCTTGTCCGTGTGGGATATGGAATGCTGATCACACCGGGAAATCTTCAAATTGAGGGTTCTAGATAAATTTTTGTCTATATAGGAATTTTCAAATGTTTAACTTTATAAGGTAAAAATCAAATTAAGTAATGTTTTTTAGATGTGACACACTAACACGTCATAATGAAATTTTTTATTTAAATGTTTAATTGTTTAAGATAAAAATTAAATACTTTTGGATGTGACACACTAACACGTCATAATGAGATTTTTTAGTTTAAATGTTTAATTGTTTAAGATAAAAATTAAATTAAGTAATGTTTTTTGGATGTGACACACTAACACGTCATAATGAGATTTTTTTAGTTCAAATGTTTAAATGTTTAAGATAAAAATTAGGAAAAATGATATTTTTTTCCCTGAGTTATATGCTTATAGCATTTTTTTCCTCTGAATTATTCATGCATCCACATTTGTTCCCTCAATTATTATAAAAGTGGTGGTTTTCCCCCTGATATATTAAATGGACATTTCTACTCTTAAAATAAATATTTTACTTATTTCTCTTCTTCAACAAATTATTGCTTATATGTAGGGATGACCACGGTTCGATCTGATTGAACCGAACACTATAGCAATCAAATCAAAATTTTCGGTTATGATTCAGAACATAACCCAATATTTGGGTTTTTCGTTTGTTAAAATCGTGAATTGAAAAAAAAAATGGATCCTGAACCTTGAAATGGAGGTTCAATCGAAACAACTACTAGCATTAGCTTAAAATTAGAATTATAATATTTACAAGTAATATATATATATATATATATATATATATATATATATTTTGATGTAACTGCGATTTGGTTTTATTTTGAACCGTCGGTTCATGGTTTCGGATCCAATTTGAAATGCTGGTTCAAACTTTCTTCTAAAAGTGTACTTTTTTATTTTTAAAATATCTAAATTCAACAATTAATGTATTTTATTTTTTCAAATCGTGGTTATAATTTGTTGGAGAAGAAAAATAAATGAAATATTTACTTTAAGGGTAAATATGTCTATTTAACATATCGGGAGGGGAAAACTGCCACTTAAATAATTTAGGGGAAAAAAATGCTATAAGCATATAACTTAGGGAGAAAAAGTACAATTTTTCCTAAAAATTAAATCAAGTAATGTTTTTTTGGATGTGACACACTAACACGTCACAATGAGATTTTTTAGTTCAAATGTTTAACTGTTTAAGGTAAAAATCAAATCAAGTAATGTTTTTTGGATGTGACACACTAACACATAATAATGAGGTTTTTAGAAATTGCCAAATATCAAACTCGTAATTATCTATGCTTTGTTGATTCAATCACCTCTTTTTTGTGCATTTTTTTTTTTTTGCTAATGCAAATAAAGTCAAAAGAAAAAGCTAATCATTTTAACACGATAACATCGAACATAACTAGAAGAATAATGTTATTTTCTTTTCCTAATTTTTATTTTTCTTTCTAATGTTCACCTATTGATGAGAACATAATTTTTTTTTTTCATTAGTTATTGTGAATTGACCAACCTCATCCAAAATTAAAACAGAATATATTTATAAATCAAATTTGGAAAGAAAAAAAAAATCAAATATTACCGATTAAAAGTGTGAAAATTAGAACGTGGAAAATGTATATACTCCTTTATGAGGTTATTAATAGTATTAGAATATGGTATCGGTGTCAAATTAACTTTATATCGTAGACCAAGTTCACCATGCGCTTACAAGTACATAATATGGACAAAAACAAATTATATCGTGGACTCAGTTCACCATAATATACTGATTGATAATTAGTGACCCCAGAAATATTTTGGAGATTTAAAGGTTCTATAAAGGCCAAAAACACCAAATTTGATATATTATTTTTTCAAGCACTGAATATCTTATCATCATCAGCAGTCTTAAGATGCTATACAATGTTAAATAGATACCAAAATAACTGTTATCCATTTTGCATATTCAATAACAGGCAGGCTAACATAAAATACAAGGAAATTGGCAATGGATCTCACCAAACTGCTGCATTTATGTCAATAGACTCAACAAAAGAAGTGTTCGTTGAACACTTTGAGAGCTTTTGGGGATTCTTTCCTTGAACATTCCAAACAAGTATCATCTCCTTGCCCTCAAATCCCAACACATAAGATTCCTGGTATACACATATCAACATCTTTGCCCTAACCAAAACTCCTACCACAGCCACTTCCATTAAATCCTATACCACTCAATCATTATCATCAGTCTTATAAAGCACGTGGCACGATCAAGAAAACTATTCTGGGCTTTCTTTCTGACAGATGGCGAAAGCTCCAACAATATTCATAAACAAGCTAAAATTGAAATGGGTACACTGCAAGTTACACAATATTCTTCCCTTTTCCATCTCAATCTATCAATCATGTAAAGCTAAACTAGACTTTGTTTCATAACAAATAGTGAGATTTGATACTCCACAAGCCATATTGTATGGGGTGAAAGGAGTTCATAACAAGGTTAATGATAAACATTCAAGACCATTGGAGAAGGATGATGCATGAAGGGGTATAATGATGGAACCACGTAAAAAAGAAGAATGAAATCCAATTATTTGAAGAATCAATATCCCAAAGTTAACTGAGGTATCAACAAAAACTTATCATTGTACTAACAATAACAAAATGAAAATGTTCAGAGTATTATTCAACTCGCTCAGAGCTTGCCGCCGCAGCAGCAGCAACACCAAATAGCTCACATAATATCGATCACTTTTCTTCTTGCTCTTTCTCAAAAAATGTCTTCCTGATCCAGTCAAATGGCTGCATATAATGGCCAAAAGAAAGAAAATTGGAGTTAGATGTTTATTACATTGAGAATTGCAAATCATCATCCAAACAAAAACACACAAAACCAAAGTCACTTGGGAAGGAAGATAATCATGCAAAATGGTCACCATCACAATCAATGCTCCATAAAGATTTGCACTTTAACAATCAAACCACATATATCATAATCACTGTAGACATCTACATCTACATATAACAGGATTAACAGCCACAACAGCCACAATTAAACTTAAGGAAAATCAATTCCCAGCCTAACAAGGATAGAAAAGGTCTTGTTTTTATTAACTATCAAAATCTATATCCTACCAACCACAAAATTCTATAAATACATAATAATCAAGGATCAATCGAATTATTCCGATACAAAATTTGATGCTTTTATCATCCCCATTATTCAGCTGAAGCAGAAATTATAAGATCTACTAAATATGCAAAATCCGTAATAATTGAAAGGAGTAATCAAAATTAAAAAAAAAAAAAAAAAATTGAACATCAAGTAGGGGATACATCACATATGCAGATCCGATAATCGAGAAGCGGAAATAGATAATTAAGAACCTGGACAAGCCAGATGGCGGTGGCGCCGGCGGCGACGCCCCACGTGGCGGCGGCCTGGATATCTGTGGATTGCGGACGGAGGGCAGGGCGGATGAACTTGAAGAGTCCGGTTGTCATCTTCTTCGTCGTCGTTCAACAAACACGGTCAACTATACAACCCTAGCTTTTGAATTTCTTCCTTTTCTGCGCAGCCTGAAACCAAATCACTGAAAATGGAGTCCCAGAAATCGTTGAGAAAGCACCGGATTCCTTCGAATATCAATCCGAATATTATATTACCTTGTACCCGAAGGCCCAATAACTTACGTTGTGCGTCGGCCCATATTTGCTTGGTCAATGCAAATTATCAATTGTTATACAAACTTATATCATGATTCATGGATCGGAGTTCATCTTCATTATAGATTATGGGTGGATTTGGAAATTATGAAAATGATTTTTGAAAATTATTTTTCGGATTTCTAGTATTTATTTAGAATGAGAAAAATAAAAGTCAATGGAAAATAGGGGTATGGTCAATGTAAAATAGAAGGAATTTTTTGGAAAATTACTTTTCCTTTATTGGAAAGTTATTTTTCGGTTTGTAGCAGTGGAGCAGCCAATCACTCGTCGTCGTCATTGTCGCCACCACCACCACTAATTTACCAAACATCTTTCTATAATAAGTTAATTAATGTTATCAACTAGTCAAACCCACTAATCCAATCAGCTAATGCAAAGTGAATTTTGGTCCATTTCACAAATCATATTGTGGATCACCGATACAAGTTTATTTTTAGTATAAATGTAGGTTAATTTTTGGTATACTACAGTTTTATATTTAAATAGTACATTCAAAATGAATATATATATATATATATATATATATATATATATATATATATATCAAAATATAATACACCTACTAAAAATAACATATAATACAATATAAATGAACATGTAGTATACTAAAAAAAATGAACATGTGTATGTCAGTAGTCCACAATATATATAATTAATGACTGTCTTGGTCAATTGCTTTATTCAATATTTTTGGCAAATTATAATATGGACAACTAATACAAATTTATTTTTATTATACTGTGGGTTCATTTTTAAATAATACACTAAAATAAACATACATCAAAATATCACAAACTTACTAAAAATGAACATATAGTCTAGTACAATGGACTACATAATGAACTTGTATGAGTAATATAAAATATCAATAAAAGTTAATGGCATTCAAATTCCTCAATTGTAAGGAATTGAAAGTACAAAGAAATTTGTTTTCTACCGACCAAACATGAGAATCACATTTGAAAGAATTAAAACCCAACAAGTTTTCAATTTTTGTGAACCAAAGGAGTTATTAGTCCATTATTGTTTGATGCGACAGTAATCATTAGACTATCTTTATTCTTACAATAATTTCTTACAAGTGAGAAAATTGCAAGGTTGGAGACAACTTTAGAATAACCTCAACATTTGAAGATTTTTTGTAATTTTTACAGTGACGTGCAGGAAAAGAGAGGGAAGAGAGAAGAAAAAGAAAAAGAAAAAAAAAACAAAAAAAAACAACAACAAAAATACTACGGCACGGTGCATCGAGAAAGACAATTTTAAAAAAATTTTTTTTTTTCACGGGTCCTACAAAAATATGATATCTACAAGAGAAAAAAACTACCCCTCCTCCTTCCCCCAAACCCACATAAGTGCAAAAACATCATTCATCCTTATTTTTCTTATAAAAAAATCTGCCCAAAACCTTTTTTGGGATGCCTAAGGATTTAGACCAAATATGCACGGGCCTCATATTGGACTACTTATCTAGCATGTGTTCCCTATCTTGTTTGTACAACTGGTTTGTATAGAGATTTATAGATTTTGTTTAATGTATATATCAACATCATGTAATTTAAGTGAACTTTGAGTAAGATTTTATATTTAAACCTTTTAAATATAATAACATGTATATAAAAAGATCATTAAATTGAGTTTGATAAAAATTTGGTTTCAATTTGAATCATTTATACTAAAAAATAAAAATATATCATACTTAACACAACCTATACTATGTATAAGAACAAAGTACAACAAACAAGAATAGAGCTACTAATTTTGTTGGTGAGTGTCTCCTCTCAAAGTACTCGGAGTTTGCAAGTGACTAATAAGAGCCTCCTTTCCGTATTCATAAGATTCCAAGTGAGGATAGAGCAAGTTTCTTTTCTAGATGTTAATGTTCATGTGAGGAATGACTATGTATATAATTTTTTACAGAGTTTTCCGTTATTGAATTTAAAAAAAAAAAAAACACAAAATAAAACAAAGAAATCAAAATTAACCATGATCGTATAGTAATAATAAAATCATGTATAAATAGAATGAACATGAATATATATGAGTACAAAGATACACAATGAAGTAACAAAATATTGCAACTCTAATTATACAACAAGAAGTGAAAGAAAAACCCTAATCAAAATGTAACTCCAACATATAGCTTGTTTCAAAGAGTATTATATTGCCACACGACTATGTAAAATGATTTCGAGAATTTTTGCGTCATAGTTAAGATCTCATCATGTTCATAATTAAAAATTAATTATATTAATTAAAGGAAGATTAATATTTTCAATCCTTAAGTTATTATGTATGTGTTAGAATCAGTCTCTAAGTTATTGAAATTGTAAAATTAGTTTCTCGATTTTTATTCAAGTGGCTTTTGTAGTTGTACCCGACACAAATTATTAACTGATTAATAGAAAAAAAGTATGAACTTTAATTTGGTAAGGTTTTTTAGTCATTTTCCCCTACAAAATTTAGGTTTTGACCGACTCGTATCATTTTCAATTAAAAAAATGTGAGAATCGATCCAAGGAGTGGGTCAACCAAAGTATTTTGGACTAATTCTCTCACTTTTTGAGTTGAAAATAAAATAAGTCAGTCAAAACATTTTATAGGAGGTAAAAAATACCAAAAAGTCCTTACAAAATTACAGTTCATGTCATTTTCCTTTAATCAACTTAGCAATTTTTGTCAGTCCAAACTAAAAATACCACTTAAAATAAAAATTGAAAGACTAATTTTACACCCCCGATAACTTAGAGACTCGATATAACTTAAGGTCAAATATGACCTTTCCCCTTAATTAAATTAGTTTTTTTCTCCGGAAATATCCCCTTTTTGGTCCGTGGAAGGGAATATTAAATCCATGCTATTATTGCTGCTAGAACCGGAGTAATTGAACATGACGTCAACCAAGTCCACCACCGGCTGGCCGCCGTAGTCGCCGCCGCCGCTGCCGCCGACAACGTCCCTATCGTACCTCGCGGTGGAGGGCCCGGCGGTGCCGCTGCCGGCTGCCACGGGCACGTTGCTAGTGCTAGAAACCGAGACGGCATGGCCGCCACCAAAAGGGCCGCCGGAACTCGTACCTGCAGCTTCCCCCGGCGGCTGCGGCTTGATGTCCATGGTGAGCCAGCTGCCGGTTACTGCTCCGCCGCTCGACGTCGTCGGCGGTGGCTGCAGGGGCGGCGGCGCCGACGAGGGAGCGGTGGCGGACATGTGACAGATGTGATTAGATCGGTAGGTTACTTGGAACATGAAAGGATTGTCGTCCAAACGTTGGACTTGCTTCTTGGCCGGACAACTATACAGTTTTTGATGAGTGCATCTATAGTATGCCCTGTACAATAATTAAAATATAATTAAACATATGATTAATATTTAATAAATATGTTTAAGTTGTCACATCGTTGATTTAGTAATTACAAAATTACAAATTCGACACCCAAACTAACAGGAGTGACCTATTGATTTATGCCGATCAGCTATAGACAATCTAGATTAATCTATCTCTTTATTATCCTTATTATCATTTATTATCAGTTAAGATCACAAAGTGAAATTTACCTTCTAACTCAAAAAATAAATAAAATTAACAATTTTATTTTCTTGGTCAACATATCAACTTTTAAGTCAAAGGTCTTCTATTCCGTGGAAACTGTTCCCATTTTTTATTTTTTTCCTTCAAATCTATGAAATTAATTACCAAGACTTGGTCATTCCAATTTTGATGAAAACATAATAAATTATATAAATAAATAAAGTCAAGTCAATAGATGACTGCTAAAAATTTACAATATTTATAAAATTAATCTTTTTTCAAAAAGAAAAATTTAAACTCTCAATCTAGATGAACTTATATGAATGAGTGAGATTGATCTATACTTTTTATAAATACACATGCATATATACATTTTTACAGCTATTATGTAGCCTATACGACATTAAAAAATTTCGGAGACAACTGTAAATAGGAATTCAAACATTAATGATTAATTAAGATTAAGAATGTAGTTAATTACCTGGGGAATCTTGAGCCTAGGATCTCTTTCTGCCCATATTTTCTCCAAGTATAGCCATCCTCAGGTGGAATATCAACATTTCCCATCTGAGGAGCTTCTACTATCTTCGTATGTCTGTCTATTTCATCCCTCCTACTATTAAAAAAAAACAATTAATATATTAGTTGCGTCAGATCAAGGCTTATCATTATGCTATAAAAGTTATACTTGCCTAGCAGTTATGTTTTAATGATATAACACTAGACTTGACCCTTCAAACATCCACTGACCCAATATGTCTATTACTCATTTCTTGATAAGTTATCGATATTTGTATATTCGGTACCACTACAAATTAAATTCACTGTTAGAAATTATGGAATTTCCGACCACCTGAAATTGATCTTATATCAAGTCGAAAGCAAAAAATGGTCAGAAATAGCAACAAAGGTTTTTCCAGATACCAAAAGTGGTCGGAACAAAGTTTTCGACTTGATTTAAGATCATTTTCAAGTGGTCGGAAATTCCATAATTTCCAGCGGTGAAAGTCACCATCAAGATGTTGTGAATTTTGGGGCAACTTTTAATTTTCTAGATTTTATGGAAACTTAGTCTTTAAATTCTTTTCAGGAAAGTCGAGGGAAAATAATGTAATGAGAATCTGAATGGAAAGTGCAAGCCTACCAAACATACACACATAGAAGTCATCTAAAGAATTTTGGTTTAGTATATGTGATCATTTCATTCTATAATGTTGAATAATTATTTATAGTTATTTGACTTATTTCATTCTATAATGAAGCTAGTTCTTGGTAAGTTATAAAATAACGTTAAGCAGTTATAAAATTAAGTAGAAGCAACTAACAAGGTATAACCCTAATCGTGTTGGTCGACTAATTAATAATATAATTTACTTGATAATCATAAGATTCTAAATTCATAAACTTCTTAAGGAGCGGCCTTTTGGCCTCCATGGTTTGAGTCAGTTAGTAAGCTATAAGCAACATAAGCTGGTTTACCTCTAAAATGTGATTTGGACCGCGATGAATAACCTAGACTGGTTTACCTACAGAATATGGTTTGAGCCAGCTGGTCAATTATGATCAACTTAAGCTGGTTTATCTCCATAACCTGGTTTGAGCTAGCTGGTCAACTATAAATTAAACAACCTAAACTAGTTTACCTTAGGGTAGCGATGATTCCGGAAAGCCCCATTATAATGTGGTTATCATAAATCCACAATCACTGTGACACTGTACTCTATTCAATTAAGACTTAGGTTGTCTTCATGTTTTTTTGTTGGGTCAGGTAATGAGGTTGTCTTCATGTTTATGTAAAACAAAAGTATACTATAATAGTGTATTCTGTGTGTTTTACTTTGTAATCCCTTAAATGTACATTGTCCCATTGAGATACTTGTATATATTCTGTCTGTATGCAATAATTAATGTGGTTTAGATTACTTTGCATAACTAGTAATCATTGTATTAAAAAAAATGTATGTATATATGTATGTTTGTGTGTATATAACTCGTGCATAAATTTTGAAAGTTAGGGTTAAGGCATAACCTACTGATCCTACTGTATTTGTATATATTATCTATAGTTTCGGATCGGCCAGTTGAGACACATTCCACGTAATTTATTACCTCCTTTAATTTGGTCCATCTATCTCTAGAACATGAGCCATTAGATAGCTTTGAGATTGGTGTTCAAATTTATATATCCATAGTTATATTGATAAATTGATAAATTCCCATTAACTTATGTGAAAAACATTGATTTTTTTTTTTTTTTTTTTTTGAGAATAGAAAACCATTGAATTTAAACATAATAAATGCTTAATTTAATGAGCGCAGCATCATATATCATATGTGATCTTAGACACCCACTTGGCAAGCACAAGGGTCTTGGAACAAAATATTTATTGAAATTTAAAAGCAAGAATTGCTTGGTAATTAACTTAATTGAAATTTCATAGAAATTTCCTTACATGCAACTAATGTCCTTTCCTCTTATTCTCTTCTTAATCATTTAAATTTCGAGAAAACTTCAATTAATAGAGAAACTTTAATAATTTCACTTTTATTATTTTGGTTGCTCTACGAAGATTATTGATCAGTCTCATTTTTCAAAAGACAAGACATCCATATTTTGACTAATGTTTTATAGGACATTTCTTTATATATCTGCAGGGTATTTCAGATTTTTAAAAGTATTAACTTAAACGGCATGAAAATTTATGTAAAATCATTACATAGTGCCACACATTTGAGGTTAATTAGTCTTTTTTATTTTACATTATTTTTAAAGGGTTTTATTCTTGATTGGGGGTGATATTGTGCTTCTAAGTAATTGTGTGGAAGATTCATGAAAGAAAAAGAACATTTTGTAGAATCATTACATCTTGCCACACATTTGAGGTTTATTTTGTCTTTTTTTTAATTACATTTTTTAAAAAGATTTTATTCTTGATTGGGGTAATTAAGGTTGTGCTTCTAAGTAATTGTTTGGAAGATTCATGTAAGAAAAAGAACATTAAAACATTTTCTTTTTCTATATATGTTATCATGCAACCTTAGCTAGCTTGTAATTAATTAATATAGCTATATTTCCATTCCTAGGTTTACTCTAATCTTTCTTCTTTTCTTTGTTACATAATCTGATCTTCTCCAAATTCTAAGTGCAGAAAGTAGGAAAAATATAATATTATATTTTAATTTCTCCAAATTATTAGGTTAAGATGGTCTGAAAGGTACTATGTTGTTCTTTTTGTTTTCCATTTTCTAGTTTCCCCATTACTGTTTGGAGTCCACTCTACCCTAAACCTCACTTTTTTTTTTTTTTTTTTTGGTTCATAAAATTATATTCCAAGAATCTATGTATTTGTGTATGTATATGTTGTAAGAATTCTGAGTAGTGATTTAATCAGATTAGATAACTTTGGTCGAAGTTTCTCACCTCAGCCGTCTTGGTCTTTGTGCCGCCGGCACGCCGCCACAGCTCCCGGAGCGGTGTACCCTCGCCGCCGCTGCCGCCACGGGTTGAGCCGGAAGTGGCAGTGGTGCCACCATGTGAGGTTGAAAAAGGTGAGGATCATGGGCGGCGGTGGTGCTCAGCCAGGTGTGATCAAGAACGCCGCCGAGCTGCAGCGGCGGCGGAGCGATCACCTGCGGCGGCGATGATGATGAAACCCTCTCCCTGACGCTGCTGAAAACCCTAACGATGTCATCGCAGGCTCGGGCAATGTAATCACGTCGGCTGGCGAGGTTGTGAGCTAGGTTCGGCTCCAGGTCTTTGGCCTGTTGAATCCCACGTAGGATCGTCATCATCAGTGCAGTAGTGATCATATTCTCGTCCATTTCTTGTTGTTTTTTGGAGATTTTTAGGTGGTCGTTTGGTCTGCTCATCATATCATTTATAATCTGATGTGAATCTGGAGGTTTTAATTTTGGTCTGAATTTTGGGATTTCTAGGAAGCTAATGGAGAATCTGAGGTTTATTATTCAAAGTATCTGATGAAGTGATATGTTGAACACGGTGCGTTTAAGTAGGGTTTTTTACACAGCGAAATTAGAGAAAGAAAGATGTGTATACAATTAAGTGTATGTGAGACCAAGTCTTGGTCTATAGGGTTTACCATTTTTCTTTGAGTCTACCACATGACTTTTTCCCCCATTGAAAACCTGTTCTTTATCTTAGACCTTTGAACATGGAATGTTCCTTCACACCCTACTTTGAAGATGGTAATTAAATTCGGTTCACATCCTGTATTTTGAAGTTGGTTAGACAGTTGGCATGATTTAGTAATAACAAATTAATAAAGTTTTAAGTTCGACTTTCAGTGAGAGGGTTGTCAATTAATCTTCTTAGTTTGGTCTCAACCGGTCAGCTATAGGCAATTTGGACTGGTTTATCTTATTGTGGTTCTTTAATTTGTTGACTAGGGTTAATTAGAAGGTGGCCGGGCTTCACGGCTTCACCCATTCGAGTAAAGTATAATAGATCAGATCAATCAAACACTCTATTTATTGTCCTTCTTAATGTGAGCTGGTCTATTATGAGCAAATTAGGGTCACATGACAAACTTCAGGTATTTACCCAGTTGGTTACACACATTTTATATGATAATAAAAGTGTACAATAATATTTATAATTAAGAGTTATAATTACTTGTTAATTAAGGATAAGGTTAGTGAAGGGATAATAATTTAGCTATTGTCTTATGTGTGGTTGTGAACTACAAATCAAAAGATTGTAGACCTTGACCCCTACGTCAAGAGCACCTGCCTGTCTGGCATGCATGAAGTATATTCTAACCTTTGAATATTATATTAATAATTATACAAAAACTTAAACAAATAAACAAAATTGTGGCCCCATGCATAGATAGCAATTTAGATGGCCTGATCTGAAAAAATTAGCATAAATTGATATTTAAAATAATTATTTTGAGGTATATATAGTTTTGAGTGGGCTTTAGTGCTTTACCCTCAATTTGAGTTAGATATAATTTTCTCTCCGGCATATTCTCTTAAATTCAGTTTCATAAATTTTCAAAATGTTCATCTTTGTTCGATATCAAGTTCGGCTACTTTGGTATCAATGCTCTTATCACCTTTTAGAGAAAGCAAATCAGTTATAAGGATGGTGAATTTTGTGATTTATCCTGATTGAAATAATTGAAAATATTTGAATTAAAAAATTCTGATCCTATGGACTATATATACATTGAGAACAAGGGGAAAAAGTTAAGGGATTTTGGAGAATATGATGCAAATGCCTCCGTTTCATCGAAGTTGAATTGAAGAACAAAACAACAATGGGAGGTTTACACTTACCTAAATCAAAGGTTGTTCATATTGTCTTTTTTGATATCTAGACCAATAATCACAAATTAAAGTATGTATGGGACCATGAATTACAACGTTGGACGATTGGTGGAGTAGACATCACGTCGTGGTTCAAGGATTTGTGCTGACTACCCAGCCGCCGCAAAGCCATGTTTGGTTGTTTACGCACTGATCGAGCATGCATTGCATTGTCAAGTGGGTTGAATTATGCGTTATATATGTCTTTGATTGAATAATTATTTTTTTTGAAGGTTTGATTGAATAATTATATATATTAAAACTTTTAAGATGCATGTTTATCGGCACTCCTTCTTCTTCTTATGTCATGTGCCTACCTATATGCCCACACTACTTGATTTGTATTTATTTGGTACAAGCAGCACTAATGATAATCAATATCATAGACTTATATATATAATTATAATTATGATCAGGTCTGAACCCGTCTTAACCTGCGAACTACTGAAAGATTTATATATATTGCACCGCAACTACTACGTGATTATGAACATGTATAGAGATACTAGCTTTTTTACGCGCTTTGCGCGAATGAAATAATGTCCAATGATTATTTTTAAATAAGTATTTCAAAGTATATTAATGCAATATTATATTATATCGGAGATGTTCATGCATAGGTAAATAAATATTGAATTTGTTTATTTAAATCGGTAATATAAAATATATAAATGCAAGATAATATATGAGAGATTGATTATATTGTCACTAAAATAAATGTTTGCAACTTTGTAATAACGCTAGTCTAAATACTTAGTCTAAAAATGACAATCTAAATAAATACTACTTTTGTTTTAAATTTCTCTAATTCTTCTTAATTCTCTTTTGGGTAGCATTTTCATTGTCTTCATCTTCAGTACATGTCCTTTTTTATTTATTTATTATTTTTTTTATTGGTAGTGTGTCATGTGCAATTGGGTTATTGGTGGTAGCATAGATGGATTCGTCGTGCAATGAGATTATGGTGTATGAAGCTCTAGATTTGCCTTGTTGTGTATATGATGGATGAGAGTAAGTCGATCAATCTAGAATTCAATAATCCAATACAGTTACAATAACAGAGACCTATAGGAGAAGGTAACACAAAAGACTCCTATAGAATAGGCTAGGAATAGTCAAATAAACTAACACCACTAACCTATTACTATAGACTATAACAATATTACTAACACACCCCCTCAAGCACAAGGTTGGAGGGATACAATATTGAGCTTGTCTCGAAGAGCCTGAAAACGTGGTGCTGGAAGCGGCTTCGTGAATATATCGACAAGCTGGTCCTTCGTGGATACAAAGTTGACGAGGAACTCACCCGATGCGACCTTGTCCCGGACGAAGTGAAAATCAATTTCCACGTGCTTAGTCCGCACATGAAAGACTGGATTGGCGGCTAAGTACGTGGCTCCGAGATTGTCACACCACAGAGTTGCTGGCTTGCCTGAATGTAGACCAAGTTCGCGAAGTAAGGAAACAACCCAAGTGACCTCAGCGGCTACATCAGCGAGGCATTTGTACTCAGCTTCTGTCAAAGAACGGGCTACCGTGCACTACTTGCGCGAGACCCAGGAGATGAGGTTAGACCCGAGGAACACTGCATAACCACTGGCAGACTTCCTGTCGACCGGGCAACCGGCCCAGTCTGAATCTGGGAATGCATGAATGTCAGAATATGCCGAACCCAAGAGATGTAAACCATAGTCATGTGTGCCTTTAACATATCGCAAGACTTGTTTCAGCAATCCCCAATGATCATCGGTGGGGGAATGCATAAACTGACAAAGCTGGTTCACGGTGAAGGAGAGATCCGACCGAGTGATTGTTAGATACTGTAGAGCCCCGACGAGCCGACGATACTGAGTTGGGTTGTCGAACAGGTGATCTGACGGGGTAGCCGACTGGGTTACCGCAGCTGGTGTTGCCAGGGGTTTGCAGTCAGACATCCCAGCACGGGTTAAGATATCCCCCATATATCAGCGTTGAGATAGAATTAGGCTGTCATTGTGTTTAAGAGTTTCAATGCTCAAGAAAAAACTCGGGACTCCAAGATCCCTGATCTTGAAGGTCGTGGATAGGCGGTGCAGCAATGTGTCAATAAGTGTTGGGTCGTTGCCCATCATGATGATGTCGTCGACAAAAACCAGCAAAAAACCCGGGAAGTGCCGGCAGTATAGTGAAACAGCGACACATCAGTCTTGGATGCCAAGAAACCTGTAGAAATGAGAAACTCATAGATCCGATTAAACCACGCGTGAGGTGCTTGTTTGAGACCATATAGGGATCGTTGCAAATGACAGACATGGTCTGGATGTGTCGGGTCTTCATAGCCTGGAGGTTGTTTCATAAAGACAGTTCCCGATAGGTGTCCATTGCGGAAGTCATTGTGAACATCGAGTTGCCGTAATGTCCAGCTGTTTGACACTGCAAGAGAAAACAATAAGCGTACCGTAGTCGGTTTGACTATGGGACTAAAGGTGTCAAAAAAGTCTTCCCCAGCTACTTGGTTGAACCCTTTGGCAGCCAGTCGCGCCTTGTAGCGCTCAATAGATCCGTCGGCTTTGCGTTTGGTGCGGTACACCCACTTGCAGCCAATGATATTCATATGGGGGTCTGCCTGTATTAGATGCCAGGTGTTGTTGTGAAGAAGGACATTGAACTCTTGGTCCATTGTATCACGCCATTCGGGGTATCTCACGGCTTGTGAGTAACAAGTGGGATTAGTAGTTGTAGTAAGTGCAAAGAACTGTTCTCCCGTACCCCGAGTTTTACGACGTGTGCGCATGATGTTCCCTTGTCATTCCTGCTGACCCTGGGACGGTGCCGAGAGTTCCAAAGCCAAGGGACTCGGTTCCTGAGCCAAAGGTAGTTCCGTGACCACTTGTGTTGGTTGAGTGTGGACCACGATTGGCCCGGACCCCCATGGCTGGGCCGGTTGCGGATTACCCTTTGTGACCTGCATAGGTGCAGAAAAAGGAAAGACTGATTCATCAAACCGAACGTGCCGGCAGATAAAGATCTTTCCCGTTGTTAGGTCCATGTAACGATATCCCCTAAAGTAAACTGGGTAACCTTAGAAGACATAGGGTGTCGATCGGAACTCTATCTTGTGCCGATTGTAAGGCAGTATATAAGGATAACAACGGCACCCAAAGACACGGAAAAATGTGTATGTGGGTAGAGATTTGTGTAGACGATAGTGTGGACTGTCAAATTTTAGTGCAGATGCGAGAGACAATTTATTAGGAGGGTTGCTGTTTCAAACGCATAATCCCAATATTTTTGTGGGACCGAGCTTTCAGCTAGAAGAGCTAAACAGGTTTTGACAATGTGTTGATTACGATGCTCAACTCGGCCATTTTGCTTGTGCGTATAGGCGCATGATTGTCTATGCACAATACCAAGGGAATTAAAAACGCTATGAAAGCGGCGGTACTCACCCCCTAAATCAGACTGTATGACTTTGATAGAACACGAAAACTGCCGTTCTACCATCACCCGAAACACATCAAAGATTTTATGTATGTCCGATTTTAGTCGTAAAGGGATAAAACCAGCAGAATCTTGTACAGTCATCTACAAATAAAATAAAATAACGATACCCAGACGAAGAAATAATCGGGGACAAACCCCAAATGTCCGTGTATAATAAATCAAGCACATTTTTACTGGAACTAGAGACCCTATCTAATGGAAGCCGTGCCGATTTGCCAAGTTGACATGACGAACTTGAGTTATTTGTGGTAACGGGACATGACCAAAGGATTTTCTGGAGGACTTGATTGTGCGGGTGACCCAGTCGTTGATGCCATACGACGGATGATGCCCGTGTACTTATGAACGTAAAGTGAGACTTCGGGACCAACAATTTGTATAAACTGCCCGAGGTCGTTCCTTTATGTAGAACCGCTTTGGTGGTGCGATCCTTCACAGTAAAAAAATTCTTGTGAAATTCAAAGTACACATCATTATCGTTAGTGAAACGGTGAACAGACAAAAGAGGTAATGACAGTTTAGGGACGTGCAATATATTTGACAAATTTAACGACTTGGAATTATAATTGGGCGGGATTGTTGCATGTCCTATACGGGAAACACCCAAACCTGTGCCGATGCAAACTTTGAGGACGTCGCCACCGGTATACACTTCTGACTAGTTCATCATGTGATCATCAGGGGTGGCGTGAGATGATGCCCCCGTGTCGGCGTACCAAGCATCCATAGACGTTTTCGGAGAAACCTCACCGGAAACAGCCACATTGGCTTGCGGCTGGGGCTCGGTATAACGCCTGTAGCAGTGGACTGCCGTGTCCCCGTGAGCACGACATATTTGGCACCTGGGGTTTCCACGTCCACGTCCACCATCGCCTCTGCCCTGACTGTGCCCCTGACTGCCTCGGCCACCATTCGAAGTCTACCGGCCACCGGAGTTCGGAGATCAACCAGCATACAGTGCGGTTGGAGAACCCGTCACACCATCACCCGCCGGAAGTTCATCGGAGTATATAAACTCTTAAGCCTGCAGCAAATCAGAAAGTTGAGGGAGGGTGTTTGGTGTACCTGAGGCGGTGAGAGCCGCGACGAGAGCCCGGAACTCCGGGCGAAGACCCCGTAGGACATACAGAATCTGTTCTTCGGATGACAATGGGCGACCGGCCAGTGAGAGGGCCTCGACTATCAACTGGGCGCGGCCTAAATATTCCGCCTGTAATTGGTTCCCTTGCCGAAGGGATTGCAATTGGTCGAGGAGGTTGAGACACCTAGCGTGCGTAGAGGAGCCCAAAGTCGTCGTGATGGAGAGCCAAACTTCACAAGACGTGTTACGCCCAACTGCAAGATACATCACCTCATCTGAAAGTGACAAGATGAGTAATGAGAGAATGGACTGATCTTATCTTACCCACGCAGCGTGCGCCAGATTTGGAGACGTGGTGACAGCCGTGGCGCCGGAGGCTGTGTCGCTGAGAGGTGGAAGAGTCGTGACGGTAGTCGGAGGACACGGCAGATCTCCGTCTATGTAACCGAGCAAGTCATGGCCACGTAGGAAAGGCACGAGTTGGGTGCGCCAAAAGAGAAAGTTTCTGGCCGTGAGCTTGATGGAGATGTAGTGATGGGCGGCGGCAAGAGAATTCGTGGTGGCCGGAGAAGGAGCGGCGACGACACTGACCGTCCTCTCGGATGAATTGGTCGACATTTAGAGGTGGGGAGAATTTTTAGAGAAAGAGTTTCTGGCTAACTGATACCAGATGAGAGTAAGTCGTTCAATCTAGAATTCAATAATCCAATACAGTTACAATAACAGAGACCTATATGAGAAGGTAACACAAAAGGCTCCTATAGAATAGGCTAGGAATAGTCAAATAAACTAACACCACTAACCTATTACTATAGACTATAACAATATTACTAACATGATGGGATATTTTTTTTTATTAACATGGAAAGGGAATACCCAAAGGTTTTACAGAAAACATTCAGAAATCATATTAACAAAACGCCATGACGGAATACCAGCCAAATCATCTTCCAGAAAACTAAGAGCCCCACCTGGAGGGTGAGGAAGGAGCTGAATACCATTGGAGGTGTGTCTGGCCAGTGTAGCAAGGTAGTCTGCTGTTTGGTTCGCCTCACAGAAGACCGCATCAATGCGAAATACTTCAAAGCAACACAGTTTTTTCTTGCAAGCCTCTAGAATGTTATGGGCAGTGATAGATGGAGGTTTGCTGTCATTCATGTAATTGAAGATTTCGCTTGCATCACTTTCAATTAACACCTTCCCGTAACCCAAATGCGCCACAAGCTTGATGCCCTTCAAGAGAGACCAGGCCTCAGCCTCCAGTGGGGAACAACCTCCAATGCCATATAAAAAGCCCTGTATCCACGTATCATGGCTGTCCCGAACAACTCCTCCACACCTTTCCCTAAAAGATCTCACACTGAGCCATCAACATTGAGTCCCTCCTGGGCTTCGACCAACACAGAGTTTTCCATGCACCTTGACTATCACAGCAAGTCTTTATCAGATTGCTACTGAAGGCCTTATTTGTCTCATCGAACTGTTTACGAACCCAGTTAACCTTGTACCTGAGAGGTTCGGCTATGTTGTTGAACAACGCCTCATTTCTCCACTTCCAAATCCACCATAGTCTGAGGGCGAATAAGGATCCAAGGCTCCTAGGATTTCCGCCACCTTTCGCAATACCGATCTGCAGCCAAACTGAGAATGGGGCTGAATTGTTTCTGGTAACAGACGCAGGCAGAATCGAGTTCAGGAGTTCATCAGCTGCAGGGAATTTCTTTAGAACATGGTCCACATCTTCCACTAGATCACCACACCTCCAGCACTTATCACACGAGGTGAAGCCCCTTATTTTCCGTGCGCTATTTGTCATGATTTTCCCATGGGCAACCAGCCAAAGGAAATACCTGACTCGATTGGACACCTTCGACTTCCAGATGCTATTCCACTTTGCTGCTTCCACCGGACTCGAAACACCGATTGCAATGTCATGAGCTGAGCTCACTGAAAATTCGCCTGATGTCTCTTTACTCCAGCCAATAGAATCCGTTGCTTCGGGTTCGGAATATACAATGAAAGCTGCTAGCTTTATGAGTATGACTTCAGGCAGGAGGTGATTTAGATGCTCCTATGCCCATCCCCTTTCCTCTGACCAGTAATTGGAGACATGTCTCCCAATGTCGTCAGCAAGAACACTAGCAATAGCCTCATCCATCAGTGGTCTATCAATCAGCCATTTCTCTACCCAGAACAAAGTCTCACCCCCATTCCTCACTTGCTTTTTCATCCCTTCACGAATGATGGGCAAAGCTTTGATGATCCCTCTCCATGCATTGGGCGAGTTAGCTTTAAGGTGCCAAGTTGAAACATCATTAGGCAGGAAGGCATACTTAGCTCTTAAAATCTGAATCCATAAGCAGTCTTCGTTCCGAAGGATTCTCCATCTGAGTTTAG